AGCAGTTCTTGATGAATGTAGTCTTTGCGATCTGTAGCCTTAATTCATCCATTTTGTTTGTTAGATCTTGCATTGGTAAGAAATATACTTGGAATTGAAGGCTTGTGTGGAAACTTACTCAGCCTAAAGAAAAACCCAGTACAGCATCCTCTCTTCCTCTTCTTCTTTCTCCGCCTCTTCCTCCTTCCTACAGGGATAGAGATCCGTGGCTCCCCCAGGGGCCTAGCTGCCTCCTTCGGTATGTTATGAGAATGTATAAAATCTTCCGTAATAGCCTTTTCACATTTCAGTCCAATTTGTAACAAGGCTTGCTGACTATAGATGCTCCTTGCGCCACAGGATTCAATCAAGGAAAGGATCCAAAACACACACAGAATCATACACACCATACACTGAAAGAAGGAGTGGTTAGCCGCAGCATCCATGTGCGCAGCCATCTTGAAAACCGTTTCAAGAGAAGGGAGCAACGTGGGTTGTATGGCTTATGGGGGGGGGGAGGAAAGGGCCCTGATTCCCTTCAGTAGCTACAGCTGGGAAGGAGAGTTTAAGAGATGCAAGCTGAGTGCGGCATCTTCTGGGAACAAATGTGAGTTTATCTTGTGTTGACTTTGGTTGTCTGCGTTACTGGCATCTTCCCAACCTTGTTGAATTACGGCTGTGCATTCACGTCTGGAATTCTTGCTCCTGTCCTGCTGGACTAATTACCTCCTTTTGCCTCAATTGGACTTATAGTTAGTTTGTGTTGACTATGTTTTGGACTTGATTCTCTGCAGCCCAAAGGCTGTTTCCTGGGAGAGTTTTTTTTCTCCAGCCCAGAAGGTAACCAGGACATTGGGAACAAAGTTGGAGCAAATAAAAGGACTCCTACTGATTATCTGTGTTGCCTTTGTGTCATGTCCCAGGTCATCACAGTAAGTGACTGAGTAAAAAGGTAAGATCAGAAACTAGGCGGGGAGGAACAAGTGGAACCTGGGATGAATGGGATAACTTTCTATGGCCCACTTGCCGGACAACTCACAACGGGACAATTTCACAATTCTATTTCATGATTGAAAATAAATCCACGTTATGTTCATTTTTGCCATTCCCAGTTCATCCTTTTGCACCCTTTCTTTAAATCAGGGGTGTCAAACTCAACGGGGCCATCCTGGAAAATATAAGGGGCTGGCCCATGTAACTTCGGCCCAGTCTACCCAATGCGAACAGGAAACATCGGGCCAGTGTAAAGAATTCCTATGCCTGTTTTCCAGTTGCCATAAGGAAGGGGGTGGGGGTGTGAACCCAGGAGTACATTCCACGCATATCTTACAAAGATTGTAGCTAGGCTACCAGATCTTCTGCCCGTGAAAATCCTTCGTAGGAGAATGTGATTGATGACACTCAGCCCATGAACATACTTAATTGGAGAATATGATTTATGACACACCCAGGAGGGAAACAGGATCACCAGTGACTGTGAATTACGTATGCCAGAGTTGGATTCATTTAGGTTCATGCCGACATGTTGCTCCTAATAAAACTTTTGGGATTCTTTTGAAGCTTGGCTTGAGGCTCATGATTTAATTAGGGCAATCGCCGGAATCCTGACAGTAGCTTTAGCCCGGACACCCCACTCGCCCATGAGTGGCATGAAGCTGGCCACACACCCCTAGGTCAATCACGGCCATGATGCGGCCCTCAATGAAATTGAGTTTGATACCCCTCCTTCAAATGATTCTCTCTCCGTTTCTTTGATTAGGGTAACTCTTGTCCTGCGTTGAGTTGACCATGGCGAACTGTCATGGACTCAAATCTGGGAAGTTAGCCAAGCAGGCCCAGTGCCTGCAGGCAACCGGTGGGGCAGGATGGGATGTATCAACTCCTAAAAGGTTTCTATGGTCCTTGTAGAGTTGCCAACAGAAAAGGAGGGGGGAGCAGTGCAGCAGTTTGGAAACTGAAAGTGCACTCCATAAACAGTTTTCAAAGATAGTAACTAGAGGATTGAAGTTTCAAAATTCTAATTGGAGAATATGATTGATGACTCTTGGCTATGGATGGGTTTCTGGAGAATATGATTTATGACACACCCAGAGGGGTGGGGGAAACCAGGGTCAAGAGTTGGCTACACCCAGACAGTCCTGGACATGTCCACTCCCAAGAAATCCTTTGGAAGTTTGGCTTGAGATTCGTGATTTAATCAGGGGGTAACTGCCGGAATCCTGACACTATGGGGACCCCAACAGATTGTAGGTGAGCATGAGATATCTTGCCTTGGGTGGGTGGGGGGACTCTGGCGTTGTGATCTAGCACTAGCCAAACACTCCCCCCCATGGTCTTCCCCACTCTGAGATTCCTGATGCGGTGGCGCACTGATCTATTTTTTTTTTACACAATTGTTGGGTGACGCCTGCTGGCTTTGAACCCGAGCAGCAAAACACTCTGTCGGCCCGATCCACCAAAAAGCAACAAACGGAAGTCAAAACATTTTATTCAATGGAGAAAGAGGCTCCAGCCCCTGGGAGGAGGAGGAGGAGGAAAAATTAAGGTGCATTGTCATCCAAGCACAACCATTTGCAACTGGTGCCCCGCGGGGGGGGGGGGGGGGGGGACCCCCTGATATCCCCAAAGCAGGCCAAACCTCCACCCTGGTACTTTGCTGCCTCCGTGGAAAGGGGGGGGGGAGTGGAACGCATGGCCAAAATCATCCAGGAGCCTGTCACCGCTGCAGTGAGAGGCTGTGCAAAAGTTTTCGAGGAGGGACCATCCTGGGAGGAGTGGGAGAGCCGGGGGGGGGGGGGGGGACTCCTCAAGAGAGTTGAACAGGGAATGAAACCCTCCCTCCCCACCCAAAAATATCTTTTCACTTGCCACTGCCGTGAAATTTTCCTTTCCGATGGGAACGCTCCCTTCCTGCAGAACGAAAACGGACACAATTCAGGATTGAGCCGTGGGTCCAGCTTGCTCTCGGAGTACGACCATGTTGGAGGCCACGACAGCCCCCCCCCCCCCAACGCCTTGTTGAACTGGTCCCGGTGGCCCCTGGCAGCATCCTTGCAGAGGACTCAGTTTGGATGGGGGGGGGGCAGGAGGGGACTACTCCCCGGGTGGGACTCCCCTCCCCGTCCACAGAGGTGAGGACTCTGAGAGGCGGCCAGTAGGGTCATTGCATGCACGCACATACCGGTGGTTGCTATCGGATTTCCTGGGGTGTTGGGGGGTGGGTGGGCTGGGAACAATTTCCTCCTGATAAAAGCTGCAGAATTTTGCCTTATCTCTGCCTCACCCCAAATTTGGCAGGGCGAGGAGAGGGTTTTCCCCCTCCCAAAGGGACACCTGGCGACAGCTACCCCACCCCAAACTCAGAAGAACCTCGTTCTCGGCCCCTGTCCTGGTAATCCAGAGGTTGTCCACCTCCTCTTTGAAGGTCAGAGGTCACTGAAGGCACGGGGAGGGGGGCTTTGCTTCCTCTTGCCCTCCCCCCGCCCCCGCCAGGAAGGAGGCGGGAGAGAAACAGAGACTCCCAGCTCCGTCCTCACAAATACGTTGAGAACGGCTGCACTAAATTTAGTGGTTTGGCCCCTATACTGACTGCCTTAATGGGGTGTGCCCCCCCCCCCGAGTAGGGAGGGGCAGCATACCCTGAGTGGGAAGGGGGATCATGCCCCGAGTGCGGGGGGATGTGTGATTTATTTTATTCCATTTCTACGGCAGCGCAACCATGGGGAGGGGCTTTGGGTGGTCACCGAGAGGGAGGGCGCCACTCTCCTGGTGCAGAAATTGAGGGGGTTCCTGGGTGAGCCAGCGATGAGGGCGAAGGGGAGACCATGGCGTGGGGACCCCAACATCTGGGGCCTCGGGTAGGAGAAAGGGGCCCCGGATTCGGGGGTGCCACAATTTATAGCAGGGGTGGTAATTTGACGGCAATCATTATGGTCCCGCGGCTAGGACTGAGGACAAACAGGCCAAAATGCAGGTTTTGGGGGGGGGAGGGCCACCGAGCAAGGGGGACCCCAGTATCGCTTGACTCCCCCCACAACCCCACCCTGAAGCGCCCACTGGAACAAGTCTGAAGAGCCCAAATTTTTTTTGGGGGGGTGCACAACCTCACGTCCCGGGCCCAAACATGTAGATGGTGCTCAAACATTCCCTCCGGGGGGAAAACAATCAGCGGGTAAATCCATATTCCTTGGTAATGTGTGGGGCAGAAATTCTGCATGGCAATTTGCTCGGGGGGAGGGGGGGCTACGGGAATGGTGGGGGTGGCTAGGCGGGCAGGAGGGAGGGGAGAAGAAAGATAAACTGAGGAAGGGAGGGTGGAATGAAGGAAGATGAGAGAGAGGGAAGGAAAGGGATAGGGAGGGAAGGAGGGAGGGAAGAGAGGCTGGAAGGAAAGATAAGGGGGAGAAAGGGTGGGACGAAGGAAGAAAGGGAGGGAATGGAGGAAGAGAGGATGGAAGGAAGGAAGGGAGGATAAGGGGGCGGGAGGAAGGAAGATAAAATGGAACGAAAGAAGAAGAGAGGAAAGGAAGGGAGGAAGAGAGGATGGAAAGATAAAAGGGGAGGAAGGGAGGAAGAAATGAAGAAAGGAAAAGGGGAAGGAAGGAAGGAAGGAAAAAGGAGGGAAGATGGAATGAAGGAAGAAGAGTGTGAGGGGAGAAGGATGGGGAGGGAGGGGAGGGAGGAAAGGTGGTAAGGAAGGAAAAGATGGAAGGAAGGAAGGAAAAGGAAAGGAAGGGAAGGAAGATGGCAAGGAAGGAAAAGAGGGGAAGAGAGGAAGCAAGGTGGGAAAGAAGGAAAAGGGGAAGGAAGGAAAAAGAAAAAGGGAGGGAGGGAAGGAAGGAAGGAAGGAAAAGAGAAAAAGAAAACAGAGAAAGAGAAAAGAAAGCAAGAGAGGGAGAGGGAGCCAATGAGCAAGAAAGGAATAGAAAAAGAGAAACAAAGGAGGGAAGAAAAAGAAGAGAAAGAGGGAAGGAAGAAAAACAGAACGGGGGGGGGGGGGGGGGCACAAAAGGGGGGGGGAAGGGAGAACGGGGGAAAGAGGGCAGGAAGGAGCGAGCCCAGCCAGCCTTTGTCCTGCACCCCCCACCCCCGCATGGTGAGACCTGCTTCTCTCACCCCTCCGCTCGGAGACCTTCGTATACCGCAGTCGCGTGCACACCCGACTCTCTCCCTGGAGGCAAGGCAGCGGACTCTGCCGTAGTTCAACAGGTCCAGCTCAACCAGGAGTGCTTGAAAAAGCCTCTAAAACAGGCCGAACTTGGTAACAGTCAACAGGAACGACAAAAACGCCACCAAGCAGCAGGGACACGCCGAGGCCACAGCAACGAGAACTGAGGCCCAGCTGGACAGCGACAGGAAGCAGAGCGGGGAGGGGGGGGTCTTCTCCACAGGGAAAGGGAAGGGGGTCACTGGAAACATAACCCCTCCAAATTGGGAGTTTCCCTCCCTGGTTTCCACGGATGCCGATCTTCCAAGGGACCTCTCTTTGCCAGACTGATGCCGGTGACAGTACCGTACTGCCGCGCCGAGTAGGGAGCGCCGAGTAACTTTCTGTTGGGTGGGTTCCTCTGTTCTGCGGTAAGATTCTTGAGGCCCAAAGTTGCCAGCACGTTCCAGCTAGTTCCATGACGTAGTTGTTAACGGAAGTATTTCTAACGGTCCTCGAGCACGTCACACTGTAGATCTCGGGTTCAAATCCACCGGGAATGGCTTCCAAGGAGGCTTGCCATTGCAAACTCAGAGCCGGCTGATCCAATGGCTATCCTGAGCCTCCTATTTTTTTTTCCCCCCTGCGGCCTGGACTCTTTGGCACAGCTCTGACTCTACTCCCCCCTCAGTGCGATTCGGCTCTGGTCAGCGTTCTGCAGATTTGGAAGAAACGGTTTTTCCCCTCAGAAAGGGACAAAAAACGGAATGCAACATGTGGAAGGAGGGGGAGGTGGGACTCGATCCAGGACCCGGTGGGGAGATAAATGGATCAAAAGAAAAAAGGAAAAGGTAAATACAAAAATGCAGAAAAATGGAAAGCACCCTGTGTCTTCTAGTTTTGTGTCAGTTCATGGTCCCAATACAGTACGTGGAAAGGGACGATGAAGAACGTCAAGAGGTTGTTTCCAGTATGTTCCATGAGCGATCCAGGAGGGGGAGGGGCTGTAGTTTCCTCTTGTCCGCCTGCTCTTGGTCCCGTTTCAAGCTCGCTGCCCCATCACCACTTCGATCGCTCAACCGCTGCAGGACACCCTCTCAGTCCCGCCCTCAACTGAGGCTCTCCTGTTCGCGGTGGCTCCGATGATGTGCCGCCAGGTTGCCTTTCTGCGAAAAGGTCTTCCCGCATGTCAGGCACTGGAAGGGGTGGTCCCCCCTGCGGAGCCTCGTCTTCGGGGCTTTGGGGCTCTCCTCCTTGGCTTGCTGAGTCCTCGGCGAGCCAGTGAGTCCGCTTCGCCCCCTCAAAGGTTCCCCAGAACCCCGGCGGGCAAAGGCAGCGCGGGTTTGCGGGGGCTTCTCTTGATGCTTTACCCGGAGCCGGCGGCGTACAAAATCCTCCTCGCCCTCCTCAGCAACGCATCCCGTTTGGTCTCCCGGGCTGTCCTGCCGCTCCTGCTGCGGCTCGCAGTCTCTTTTCTGGTGAGCAGCGAGCAGCCGTTCTTCCCGGAAGTGCTTCCCGCAGGCGGGGCAGGCGAACGGGCGGCGGGCCGGGCCACCATGCACCCGCTGGTGGGTGATCAGGTTCTGCTTGAGGCTGAAGCGCTTCCCGCAGACGCTGCAGGCAAAGGGCTTCTCGCCAGTGTGGATGCGCTGGTGTATGATAAGATTATGTTTGAGGCTGAAGCCCCGGCCACACTCAGGACACACGAAGGCCCGCTCGCCGGCGTGTTGCTGCTTCTGGTGGCGCAGCAGGCCCAGCGGCTGGCTGAAGCTCTCGCCGCACATGGCGCATTTGTGCTCCTCTTCCTCCACCTGGCTATGGATGACCAACCCGTTCTCGTCTCCTGAGCTCTCCTCCCACGCCGGGAAAGGGAATGGCTTCTCCCCCGGAGGGGATGCCTGGCGGGTGCGGCCATCTACCGGCTCTTGGTCCCTCCCATCCATGGGGACACCCCTTTCTGCGGAGAAAACAAAAGAAAAGAGCATCAAAGAGAGGCTGGCAAGAGATATGTCGCGACCTCGATTGATTCCAAGTCATTCATTTTCCGTCCGTGTCAAGCGGCTTGTGTGAAAAATAAAACCACCATAAAACCACTCTACACCAGAGGTGGTATTCAGCCGGTTCGGACCGGTTCCAGCATAATGGTAGCAGAAATTTGGAATAGTTTGGAGAACCGGCAAATACCATTTCTGGCTGGCCCTGTCCACCTGCCCCCACCATTTCCTGTCTTATATCCCATTGATTTTTAGCTCAGCCGGTTTCTACGGCAGAGTGCATTGCTGCACCTCAGCTGAGCTAAAAATCAGCTCACCTCACCGAGGGCGATCTTCAAGTGTTGCAAAGCGCACAGAACCAGTAGCACACAATTTGGAATCACACCACTGCTCTACATGACAATAATTTCTTAAGGTCAGGGTGTCCCACCTTGGCAACTTTTAAGACGTGGGCACTCGAACGTCCAGCATCGCGAGCTGGGAATTCTGGGAGTTGAAGTCCACAACTCTTAGAGCTGCCAAGATTGGACATTGTGCTCTATGGCGGGATCTGGTTCACATTGCTATTCATCTGTATTTAATTCTTACTAATTTTAATTTTGTTATCTCCCTCTCTCTCTCATATCTATTATCTGTTTCTCTCTATTATATCTGTCTATTTCTATATCTCTTATCTCTCTCTCCCATATTTATTCTATCTCTCTTCCTTCCTCCCTCTTGACCATTTATTTCTATCTGCTAATCTGTCATATCTCTATTCTCTTTCTCGTATCTATTTTCTCTCTCCATCCATTCATCCGTTTCTTCTATCTGCTAATTTCTCTCATATCTCTATTATCTCTTTTATCATATCTCTTTTCTCTCTCCATCCATCCATTCCTTTCTTCTATCCGCTAATCTCTCATATCTCTATTATTTCTCTATATCTATTCTCTCCCTCCCTCCATCGCCTGCTAATCTCTCATTATCTATCTATCTATCTATCTAATCTCTTATATTTATTAACTGTCTCTTTCCATCTATCCATCCATCCATCCATCCATCTTTATCATCTATCTGCTAATTGATGCTGTGACGGTCGTAAGCATGAAAAACAGTTTTTTCCCCCCCAGGGCTGTTGAAACTTGAGCGGTTACTGTAAGTCAATTTTATTTTCTATTTTATTTCATTTTGCCTTCTTATACGTTATTTTATTTGACTGTTTTATTTTGTTTTATTTTATTTATTTTATTGACTATTTTATTTTATTTTACCCTATTTGACTTTATTTTAATTTATTCTTTGTTATTTTATATTACATAAAATAAAACAAAACAAAAAAAATTATTATTTTATTATTTTGTTATTTTACTTTATTTTACTTTACTTCATTTACTTTGTTACTTTATTTTATTATTTTATTTTTATTTTACTTTTTATTTTATTTATTTCATTTTTATTTCATTTGCTATTTCTTTTA